AGAGAGTATTATGCTAAGTGAAATAAGTCAATCAGAGAAAGACAATTATCAAATGATTTCACTCATATGTGGAATTTAAGAAACAAAACAGAAGCACATAGGGGAAGGGAGGGAAAAATAAAACAAGACAAAATCAGAGAGGGAGACAAACCGTAAGAGACTCTTAATCATAGGAAACAAACAGGGTTGCTGGAGGGGGTGGAAGGATGGGGTAACTGGGTGATGGACATTAAGGAGGGGACATGATGGAATGAGCACTGGGTGTTATATAAGACTGATGAATCACTGAACTCTACCTCTGAAACTAATAATACACTATATGTTATTATTTGAATTTAAATTAAGAAAATTAAAAACTAAAAAATAAATTTTAAAAAGAAAATAATAAAGTTCATCAAGATGAGTACCAGCCAGAGCTATGAGATTAGCCTTGAACAAAACTGACTTTATTCTAAGAAGAACTTGAATTATCTTGCTTTTCATTGTAATATGGGTTTGCAATCCTAAAACTACCTTTTTGTACTCTAGGAGTGAGACAAAAATATCGCCAATACTCTCAATAAAGAGAATAATGGGAATAAAATAAAAATAACACCTCTTACACTACAAAAAACAGAATAAAATATTGTGTAAGAAGAAATTTCTAGTATATTAAAAACACAAATGATACTAGAAAAAAAATCCTAACCAGCTTTTTAGTAGAAATTAGTAAACTGATTCTAAAATTCATAGGTAATTGCAAAGGTACTAAAATAGTATCCTTTTTCAAGATCATTTGGCTGAAAGAAGACTTAGTAAAAAGCTACAGTAATCAAGATAGTGTACTATTAATATAAAGGCAAAAGACTAGATCAACTGAAGAGAGTAAAGAGTCCAGAAACAATCCCACATATTTAGCCAATCAAATATTATGAAGGCAACAAAAAAATTCAACAGGGAAAGAAAAGTTGTTTTCAAGAAATGGTGCTAGCAATCCATAAAAGAAAATTTGATAATTTGAACTTCATCAAAATTTACAATTTTTCTATTTCAAAAGACACCACTTAAAAATGAAAAGTCAGGGGCGGCTGGGTGGCTCAGTCCTTAAGCGTCTGCCTTTGGCTCAGGTCATGATCCCAGGGTCCTGGGATCGAGCCCCGCATTGGGCTCCCTGCTCCCCGGGAAGCCTGCTTCTTCCTCTCCCACTCCCCCTGCTTGTGTTCCCTCTCTTGCTGTCTCTCTCTGTCAAATAAATAAAATCTTAAAAAAAAAAAAGAAAAGTCAAGCAATAGACTGGGAGAAAGATTTACAAATCATTTACTGGGAGAAAACATTTGCAAATTATATATTGTAGCATAATATATAAAAAAATTCCTAACTGGGTATTTATCCAAAGAAAACAAAAACACTAATTCAAAAAGATATATGCACCCCATGTTCACTGGAGCATTATCTGCAATAGCCAGGTTATGGAAGCAACCCTAAGTGTCTACTGATAGATGAATAAAGAAGACATGGTGTATACACACATACATACACAACACACAGAGGAATATTGTGCAGTCATAAAAAGGAATGAGATCATGACATTTGCAACAATTTGGATAGACCTAGAGAGTATTATGCTAAGTGAAATAAGTCAAACAGAGAAAGACAAATATCATATGATTTCAATGATATGTGGAATCTAAAAAACAGAACAAACATAAAAATCAGAAACAGACCCATAAATACAGAGAACACACCGATGGTCAGCAGACAGGAAAGGGTGAGTAAAGGGGAGTGGGAGGTACAGCCTTCCAGTTATGGAATGAGTAAGTCACAGGGATGAAAGGTACAGCATAGAGAATACAGTCAATGGTACTGTAATAGTGTTATATAATGACAGATGGTAGCTACACTTGTGAGCACAGCATAATGTACACAGTTGTTGAATCACTATGTTGTACACCTGAAACTAATGTAACATTGTGTGTCAATTATTCTTCAATAAAAAAAAAACCAGAACAATAAGATAACCCAATTTTAAAACGCCTAGAAGATATGAATAGACTGAGTTAACTAAAGAAGATATACTAATGACTAATAAGCACATGAAACGATGCTCAATATCATTAGCCGTTCACGAAACATAAGCTAAAATCCTGATGAGATACCACGTACACCCACTAGAAGGCCCATAATCAAAAAAGAGAGAACACAAGTGTTGGTAAGGATGTGTGGACAATGGAACCCTCCTACATTGCTGATGGGAATATAACATAGTATACGGACTTTGGAAAACAATATGGCAGTTCCTTAGAAAATTAAACAAACTTACCATACAACCCAGCAATTCCATTTTTAGAAATCTACCTAAGATAAATGAAAGCATAGGTCCATGCAAATACATGTGAGCAAATGTTCATAGCAGCATTATTCATAAAAGCCAAAACTAGAAACAATCCAAATATCCATCAACTGGTGAATGGATGAACAAAACGTGTTACAACCATAAAATAGAACAGAATTCACCAATTAAAAAAAAAGAATGAACTCCTAAAGACATTCTGCAACGTGGATGTACCTCAAAGGCATTATGCAAAGTGAACAAAGCCAGACACAAAAGACTATATCTTGTACAATTCCATTTATATGAAATGACCAGAAAAAGCAAATCAATAGAGAGAGAAAATAGATTAGCGACTGCCTAGAACTGGGAGTGAGAATAGGTACATCATGACGGCTGGAATAGACTGAAGGTTAAAATCTTGCCTTTTGCAACAACATGGATGGAGCTAGAGAGGATAATGTTAAGCAAAATAAGGCAGTCAGAGAAAGACAAATACCATATGCTCTCACTCATGTGAAATTTAAGAAACAAAACAGATGAACAGAGGGGTGGGGGAAGAGAGAAAGACAAACCAAGAAACAGACTCTAAACTATAGAGAACAAACTGATGGTTGCCAGAGGGGAGGGAGGTGGGGGAAGGGGGAAATAGCTGATGGGGATTAAAGAGTACACTTAACATGATGAAGGAAAAAAAAAAAAATGATAAAAAAAAAAAAAAATTCATGGGTTGAAATCCTAACCCCCAATGTGATGATATTAGGAAGTGGGGACTTTGGGTGGTGATTAGGCCATGAAAGTGAACAACTCATGAATGGGAGTAGTGCCCTTATAAAAGAGACCTGAGAAATCTCTCCTGCCCTGTCTGCCATTTGAGGATACAACAAGAAAATGACTATCTAATCATGATGAGCACTGAGTAATATATAGAATTGTTGAATCACTATATTGTACACCTGAAACTAATGGAACACTATATGTTAAGTATACTGGAATTAAAATTAAAAAAACTTAATTTAAAAAATAAAAAAGAAAAGAATGATTATCTGCAACCCAAAAGAGGGCCCTCACTAGGACATGACCAGGTTGGCACCCTGATTCAGCCTTCCAGCCTCCAGAACTGTGAGAAAGAAATTTCTCTTTATAAACCACCCAATATATGATATTCTGTTATAGCAGCCCAAATAAAATAAGACAATGGCCAACAGACCTGAGGGATCTTTTTGTGGTGATGGAAATGTTCTCAAACTGGACTATGGTATGACTGGCACACTCTATAAATCAGCAAAGACATTAAAGTAGTTATTTTAATAATATTCTGTATGTCCAAAAGGTTAAGTAGATTAATGGAAAGTAAGAAAAGACCCAAATCAAATTTCTACAGATGAAACAAAAATGTCTTAAATGAAAAATACACTGAATAAGATTGGGGCAGATTAAACAGTACAGAAAAAAATGATAAGTGAACTTGAAAACAAAGCAATAAAAATTATCCAAAACAGAACACACAGGGAAAAGAGGACTGTGGAAAAAAATGAACAGAGAATCCAGTGATCTGTGAGACATTCTTAAGATGCCTGGTACATTTGTAATTGCAGTCCCAGAAGGAAAGGGGAGGAACAGAAAAAATATTTGGAAAAATAAAGGTCATAAAATCACTAATCTAATCAAAAACTGAATTTCCAAAAAAATGCACAAGCACTCCTATTAGAACAAGTTATAAGTTTGGGTTCCTTACATTTGGTCACGGCATAAATGTTAGGTTTCTTCCTGTTCTCTATTGAACAAATAATTTCGAGTCTTAATAAGTTAGTACATTATTAGGGCGCCTGGGTGGCTCAGTCGTTAAGCGTCTGCCTTCGGCTCAGGTCATGATCCCAAGGTCCTGGGATTGAATCCCACATCGGGCTCCCTGCTCAGCGGGAAGCCTGCTTCTCCCTCTCCCACTCCCCCTGCTTGTGTTCCTGCTCTCGCTATGTCTCTCTCTGTCAAAAAAATAAATTAAAAAATCTTTAAAAAAAAAAAAAAGAAAGAAAAGAAAAGTTGTTAGTAAATTATTATACACTGTAATAATAAGAATGAAAATAATTCACTTGAATGGTTCAGATTTGTATTCTTTTAAACTGTGTATCTTGGGGTGCCTGGGTGGCTCAGTCGGTTAAGCATCCAACTCTTGATTTTGGTCCAGGTCATAATCTGAGGATCGTGAGATCAAGCTCCCCTCATCCGGTTGGGCTCCGTGCTGGGTGTGGAACCTGCTTAAGATTCTCTCTCTCCTGGGGCGACTGGGTGGCTCAGTCAGTTAAGCGTCTGCCTTCAGCTCAGGTCATGATCCCAGAGTCCTGGGATCAAGCCCCATGTCCGGCTCCCTGCTCAGTGGAGAGCCTGCTTCTCCCTCTCCCTCTGCCTGCCTCTCTGCCTACTTGTGCTCTCTATCTCTCTGTCAAATAAATAAATAAAATCTTAAAAAAAAAAAGATTCTCTCTCCCTCTCTCTCTCCCCCTCCCTCTCAAAAGAAAACAAAACAAAAAAAAACAAAAAAACCCTGTGTATCTTATTTTAAAGCTCTTTAGTATTTTTCCCCTTTCATCTCATATCCCCTTATTTCCTCAGAATTCATTCTCTTGAATTTGTCCACTTATAAGAACAAAATAAATAATAAAGTATAAAGAAATGAAAAGTGAGAACCTACCTGAAGTCTTGCGAGTTGTGCAGTCCTGGCTACTATTTTATTGTATGGTTCCACGATTTTTGCTTTCATCCTAAAGGAAAAGAAAGAGAGGAGTGACAATAAAATCATCTTCAAAATATCAATGGTTAAATTTCTTTCCATTCCACTTATTTACAAAATGAACAAAAGTACCTATCAACAGCTCCCTGTAAAGCTCCAATTCTTGTCTGCATCATCTGAAGAACACCTAGGAAAACATAATAGTTTCCATTACTTTACAAATTTACAAGGGCTCCAACTGGGGGAAAAAATTGTATTAAAAGAAAAAATCATACATGTACACATACCCATAGATAGAAAAATTTCAATTTTTTCTGCCACCATCATAATTTAAACAACCAATATCTTTTACCTGCACTATTTTTAAAGCCTCTGAGTAGTCTCCCCCTCCAAATCTTGTTCCACTAAACAAGTCTGACAAATGGAGAGTGACTGAATAAGGAGCATAGGGTTTTCCAGTTTGGGTGATGAAAAAGTTCTGGAACTACACAGTAATAGTTGCACAACACTGTAAATGTAATTAATGGTACTAAATTATAGTATGTATGAAATTATGTAGAGTATGTATGGAATTAAAGTACAGTTCATGTGTATTGTATTATAGTCACAAAAGAAGAAGCCTGAGTGCTCTTTAAAGGTGCACATTGTAGCACAATATTCCCTGCTAAAACCCTTCCAGTCTCCCCTTTGCTTCCATGTCAAAACTAAAGTCCACAGCTTGGTCTTCAAGGCCCTGCACCATCTGGAAATGGTGTACTTTCTCCCCAACACTCAACTGCACCCCCAAGTTCCCACTAGATAAACCCCCACTATTCGTCAAGCCTTGGCTTAACAGAAACAATTACTAAAAGATCCCCCAACTGATTTAGATTTTCTTGTTATTTTCTTCTACAGCATACATTTCCTTCATGGTACTAATCACATTAGGTAATTACATATCCGCTTGCATATCTGTTTAATTTTTTACTCTCTCACTAAACTGTAAATTCCTGGAGGCTAGGGAAAGTGTATTTTTCATTCACTACTGTATGACCTGAGCTTAACTCAGACTACTTCCAATGGCAATGAATATTTATTAAATTAATTATATGCTAGATAAGTAATACACATGGAGAGCAAGGATAGTATCGTCTTTACACTCTACATACACAACATGATAGTTAACTTCTTACAAAACTGTAAAAATATTTTCAGGAAGATAGATTTTAAATTTTACTATTTTATATACCTGAAAATAAGCTTTTAAATATTACAGTTTTAATTATTTTGAACTCCACTCTTGAAACTCTGTTTTCACATTTAACTGGCATAGTTGTAGTTTTAAAACATAACATTCTAAATAAACTTAGGTACAGAACTCTGTCATATATTAGATGAAGTAATAGTAGAACTAATAAACATTATCAGATACAATTAAGCTTTAGTATGGCTCAGTCCAATAGAATCCTCTTGGGACCGGAGAATTCCCATTTTTCTGCTGGTTTTATGGTTCCCTGACCTTAAACCTCCAGGAATGAACCGCCCTTACTTGTTATCATCACGTCCCTACATCTTATTCTCTCCACAACCCACTCTCAAATAGACTTTCATATACACTCCACCAAAATAGATCTCATCAAGGTCACCAGAAATCCCCCAAGGTGCCAAATTCTATTGTCAGTTCTATCTTGCTCAATTCTCTGAAATTCACAACACAGTTAAACCACTCCCTCCCTAAGACATTTTTTTTCCCTCTGGGCTTCCAAGTTATCACACTCCCTGGGGTTCTTTCTGTTGTATTAGTGGCTCCTCCTCTTCTAGAGTCCTACATGCTGGAGTACTCCAAGATTTTATCCTCAGTTTCACTTCTCCATCTACAATGTCTCTTAGGGATTTCACCCAATTCCAATGTTTTAAATACTATTCAATAAAATACCAATTTTATACACACACATCCACAAATATGTACACATATCTACATAGATTTTGTCTGCCTACCTATGTACGTACACACACACACACACACACACACCTCTCTAATTTAAGACACCCAAGATAACTTCTGTCCCACCCCCACCCCATCAAAATTATAATTCTCTCCATTCTAACCCATCTCAGTTACCCATACCATCATCTATCCCATTTTTCAGGTTAAAATCTTAGGAATCACACTTGGTGACATTTTTCCCTCAGCCCTTTCATCTCCCATCAACAAACCCTATCAGCTCTGCCCCCATTTTATCCCACCCACTTTCCTCTCTCACATCTACCACTCTAATCCAAGGCACCATCATTTCTACTCTTCTGGTATCTTCTATTTTTTGGTACCCCTGATTCTACTTACTTTCCTATAGAGCCATCAGAGAAAACTTTTTAGAGCATTAGTCTTATACATCATACCCCTAATAAAAACCCTCCAATGGTTTACCACTGTATTTAGAATGAAAAAAATCAAAATTCTTTCCCAAGAACCTCATCTACAATTCTCTCCCTCATTCATTAAATTCCTCTCATACTGGCCTTTTTTCTGCCCTCATACATCCCAAGGTAATTCCTACCTTCCCATTTATTGGTCTCTCAGTTTACAACACTCTTCTCCCACTTTTCAGGTGGTGGCTGTTTCTCATCATTCAGTTCTCAGCTCAAATGTCATTTTCTCAAAAAGGCCTCCCCTGACCATCCTAGCTAGTAAGTAAGGGACTCCCCTTCCTCCACCCAATCATTCATTTTATTTTCTTTGTGGGACTTAAAAATATCTGAAGTTTCCCATTTGTGTATTTTCTTTGTCTGCTTCCCTGCATTAGAACATAAGTTCCATAAGAAAAGTGACTCTATTGTTCATAGATGCCTGGTGCCTAACAAGGTCTCAGTTACTGTTTAAGTGAACAAATGAGGGAATGAGGATATCTCTTTTCAATAAAATAGGGTTAATTAAATATACCTCTAAATCCCGTAAGAACAGGGACTCTGTTATAGCTGTCTGGAACCTAGCAAATTCTCAACTAATATTTAAATGAATAAACAAATGAAAATGAATAGGTGGCAACTTTTAATAAAATAGGTTCAATAAACGTACTACCAAACTACTTACGTAGCAAAAAAAAATTCAGTATTTGGGGGGAAAAAAGCAGATGAAGTAGAAGTTGGGATAATATTTGTTTTCAAATACAGATCACTTATTTTTCAGTATCTCAAATTTCTAGTAAGTGCTCAGAAATACACATCATGCCAAAATGAATGCTAATTCATGCTTTGACGTTTTATGTTCAAATAATCCAGAGAAGATGCTTAGATTATCACAAGAACTCAGAGAAGGCAGTCTTGGTACTTCATATACTCATCCAATGGATAGTCATTCTAACTCAGTCTAACCATATATTTTTTTTATTTTTTATTTTTTTTAAATATTTTCTTTATTTATTTGAGACAGAGAGAATG